GCTGGGTAACAAGAGCGAAACTCTGTCTCAAAAAAAAAAAAAAAAAATGTTGATACTACAGTTTGGCATCACATCCTACATTGGGTCAGGCGCAGTGGCTCACATGCGTAATCCCACCACTCTGGGAGGTCGAGGTGGGCAGATCACGAGTTCGAGACCAGCCTGGCCAGCATGGTGAAACCCTGTTTCTACTAAAAATATAAGAAACTAGGCCGGGCGCGGTGGCTCAAGCCTGTAATCCCAGCACTGTGGGAGGCCGAGGCGGGTGGATCACGAGGTCAAGAGATCGAGACCATCCTGGTCAACATGGTGAAACCCTGTCTCTACTAAAAATACAAAAAATTAGCTGGGCATGGTGGTGCGTGCCTGTAATCCCAGCTACTGAGGAGGCTGAGGCAGGAGAATTGCCTGAACCCAGGAGGCAGAGGTTGCGGTGAGCCGAGATCGCGCCATTGCACTCCAGCCTGGGTAACATGAGTGAAACTCCGTCTCCAAAAAAAAAAAAAACTAGCTGGGCATGGTGGCGTGCGCCTGTAATCCTACCTACTCAGGAGGCTAAGGCAGGAGAATTGCTTGAACCCAGGAGGCAGAGGTTGCAGTGAGCTAAGATCACGTCACTATACTCCAGCCTGGGCAACAGAGCGAAAGAATCCTAGGTTGGATGTTCCTAAAATTCTGAGGACACTGCTCCCCTGTACCTAGACTCTATTGTCATACAGATTCTTGGTCCATTGCTGTAACTTGACTTGTTTTCACTGGAGGATTTTGGAAACTTCTCTTTTCTCATTGTTCTGAAATCATAGTGTGATGTACCAATTTATTTTTTCTTTATTTTTTTCTTTTTCTTACGGAGTCTTGCTCTGTCGCCCAGATCGGAGTGCAGTAGTGTGATCTGAGCTCACTGCAACCTTCACCTCCTTGAACCCAGAAGAATTGGGTTCAAGCAATTCTTCTGCCTCAGCCTCCCGAGTAGCTGGGATTACGGGCACCTGACACTGCGCCCAAGTAATTTTTATATTTTTAATAGAGACGGGGTTTCACCATCTTGGCCAGGCTGGTCTCAAACTCCTGACCTCATGATCCACCCACCTCAGCCTCCCAAAGTGCTGGGATTACAGGCGTGAGCCACCGCGCCCAGCTATTTTTTTTTTTTTTTTTTTTGAGACGGAGTTTCGCTCTTGTTACCCAGGCTGGAGGGCAATGGCGCGATCTCGGCTCACCGCAACCTCCGCCTCCCGGGTTCAGGCAATTCTCCTGCCCCAGCCTCCTGAGTAGCTGGGACTACAGGCACGCGCCACCATGCCCAGCTAATTTTTAGTATTTTTAGTAGAGACGGGGTTTCACCATGTTGACCAGGATGGTCTCGATCTCTTGACCTCGTGATCCACCCGCCTCGGCCTCCCACAGTGCTGGGATTACAGGCTTGAGCCACCGTGCCCAGCCGCTATTTTTTCTTTTATTCACTGTGCTGGGCACTCAGTGGGTCTGCTCAATGTGGAGATTTGTGACTTTCAGTTCTGAAAAATTTTAATGCATTGATTTAATATTGTTTCCTATTATTTTTTTTTCTCTCTGGAACACCTAACAATTCAGATGCTGGAGCTCCTGGACTGATCCATTAACTCTAAAGTACTCCCTTCTCTTTTGTTCTTGTATTTATCACCAATTACTAACATTATACCATAACTGATACAGTTGTCTCTCTTGTACATAACCGTTTTCCCTTCTCCCTCCCTCTCCGTGTGTGAGCGCACATGTGTGCACACAACCATTGGAAAAATGCAAACATCATGACACTTCCTTTAGTATGCATCTTCTAAGAATAAGGGCATACTCCTCTATAACCACAGTGCTATTATCACAAAAGCAAAAATATTAATTCATTATCATTAGCATACATTCCTTATTCACATGTCCACACTTCCTCTTCCCGCCTAAGCATTTTTCAGTCAAGGAGGCAATCAGGCATTGTCCTTCTCTTTTCATCTCTCTTCGCGTACTACTTTCTGCAAGAGTTCCTCAGTTTTCTATTAAAAAGTTGTCCTGCTATCCTATTTTCCAAGCGCTTTCTTGTTCTCTGAATGGACCCCTACTTGACACCTTCTTATTTTTATGTCATGCATTCTGTCTTAGCTCTTTAAGCCTTTTTCTTTTTCAAATTTGAACTTTACTTATGCATCTTATATTTCCTATTTCTTCACTTGGTTTCTTTTTATCTGTTTGTGTTAGACTGCAGAGGCTTTCTTCATGTGTCTGATAATCCTTGACTGTTAAGTCATAGTTAAGAAGGAAGTACTAAAAAGTAAGTTTTAATTTCATGTACACAGCTGGTGCTTATTAATGGCAAGGCTCCCTGAAGGTGATCAGACAGGGATCTAACTGCTATGGTGGATTACGTTTTTCTAGAGCTGATTACACTATCTCCCACCACGCATCACCTTGTTACAGTGTGGCCAACTGACACTTTAAGATATGAGGTCTGTGTTCCTCCCTTAGAACCCTAGGCAAGTTGGTGACTATAGCAGAAATAATGTGATGCTACTTCCAAGACTGGTCATCATAAAAGGTAACACGGATTCTCTCGTCCTCCTGCAGGACATACATGTGGACACAAAGCCATGTGGCAGTCTGAGTGCCCTGAAGAAGCAGCACAAACAAGTGCACACAAGCCCTTGGGGAGGTGGCGCAGCCTGGCCCTCCCCCAGCCGTGCACACTGCCTTCCCCGCCCACTGCTCTTCCAGCTCTACCATCTGACTGCAACCAAAGCAAGAAACTGAGCCACAATTGCCCAATCAAACTGTTCTTAAATTTCTGACCTATAGAAACCATGGAATTATTTTAAGTCACTAAATTTTGGGCATCGTTTTTCAGGCAGCAAGACTATGGAACAGATTTTGGCCCCTGGAAGTGAGATGCTGCAACAAAAACCCAGAACATGTGCTACTGGCTTTGGGGCCGGGGGGCAGGTGGAAATTGCAAGGACTTTAAGAGGCTGTGCTATCAGCAAAAGCCTGAAGGGCCTCAACAAGGAAACTATCAGGAAGAACTTAACAGAAACTAAGAAAACTACTATTGTACACTGCAGGAAAAGGGTCCCCTGTTGTCTAAGTAGTGGAAAATGTGGCGTTTAGAAATGTGGAAAACAGGAAATGTACCTAATAAACTCCACGATCTACCTAAGGATATTTTCAGGCAGGATTTTAAAAAAAAGAAATGATTCTCAAAATTCTCAGTAAATCCTGATTGTGACTGTAAAACTTTCTTAAAACCTGAAAAAGATCTAAGAAGTTTCTCCACTGTCCTTTCCAACATCAAACAACAGAGTTTCTAAGAATACTAGTAGGCTGGTGACACACAAGGAACCCAAGAAAATGAAGGACACCACAAACTAGCTACATGTGGTTCCTGTCTAATGCAGTAGGTTACAAAGTGACACACACACAGCCCACAAAATTTTCAAAGGAATTATACCAGTTTGGACTGAAAGGGACAAAAACAGTACAAAATGAGGGGAAGGTTTTTTGTTCCTCCAAAAATACTGTAAGCACAAAGGCTAAGAAAACTACTCAGCTATACCGAGCATGGTGGCTCACGCCTGTAATCCAGCATTTTGGAGGCGGGCAGGCGGATCACGAGGCCAGGAGTTCGAGGCCAGCCTGACCAAAATGGTGAAACCCTGTCTCTACTAAAAATACAAAAATTAGCTGGGCGTGGTGGTGGGCACCTGTAATCCTAGCTACTGAGGAGGCTGAGGCAGGAGAATCACTTGAACCCAGGAGGCGGACGCTGCAGTAAGCCGAGATTGCACCACTGCACTACAGCCTAGTTGACAAAACAAGACTTTGTCTCAAAAAAAAAGAAAGAAAGAAAAGAAAGAAATCTACTTAGCTATAAAATCAACCATTTCTTACAGAAAAGGGTAATTCAGAAGGGTAAGGTCAGGCTCCGGTTTCTCAACAGAAGCCAGAGCCTGCAAGAATCATTTCCAGGCACCAGAACTGAGACCTAATCAAGGAACTGGCAATGTGTGGCCTGCTGAATTTCAGAAAGGTGATAGATGAGAA